GAGATCAGGCGCTTGTCGCGATGGAAAACCGACCGACCGGCCCCCTCGCCCAGCTTCTATTTCTTTCTCTCGCTCGCACTTTCTCTTTTACATTTCTCTCTCATTCATCTCGCTTCTCTCTCTCTTTCTCTTTTATCTCAGAGATCGAGAGGTTGCGGCTAGAGTTTCGTTTGAATTTTTCTACACGAATTGCGAGAGCGCTTTTAGACCGGCCTGACGCATCACTGGAAACACAATAAAAAAAGCACGAGAGGCCGAGATCAGTGTACCAGTCCCGATTTTCACGTTCACGTTCTTATTACTTTTTCCCCTGTATGATTTCATTCTCTCCTCCTTTCTCTCCCCCATTCGCGTTCATCCTTCTATCTTTCTGTCTCTCGCACGATTCACACTTTCCCATCCTTTCTCTCCCTCCCTCCCTCTCTCTCTCTCTCTCTCTCTCTCTCTCTCTCTCTCTCTCTCTCTCTCGCTCTCTATCTTAGCTTCGACTGCGTGTCTTTTGCATGGCTGTCTGATCCGGGGTCTCTCTCTCACTCTCTGTCGCCTTCTAAGAATTTCGTTTCATCTGCATCAAGAAAAAAACGTCATTGAGTCGGATTGGAGTTTCTGATCTTTTTTTTTGTTTTTTTTTTGCTTTTTTTTTAACGAATCGTAATTTAAGATCCTGACAAGAATTTGTCCGATCGCAATCTCCTATTTCCAAAGTTAAATCCGATTTGTGCGGCTAGTTGAAAATTCCTCGTTTAGATTTGCATAACGTAATCTCTCCGCGAGCGATAAGAGAAGAATGCACGTCGCCCGGGATCGTTTTCCGAGTCGCGAACCGTCCGCGCGATTTCACAGCTTCCGAGAGACGGGGATCGTCAAGGTGATGGAGAGTAGAAGAGACGGCGCAGCAGACGACCGAATGGATCGTGACAGTAACGTAGGTAGCAAAGACCGTACTGGAACTGTGCTTGCGACAATGCGCCGTCTTTCTTCTCAGAGTGTCATTCTCGATATTTTAATAACGCACGTTGTGGCGATATACGCGCGCAAAATGGCAAACGACGAATCCGGTATAATCCGAAAATCCGGCTGGATTGGGAAGGAAAAGCATCCTCGCTTCCCCGCCGCCTCCGTTGAACGCGGTGCTCTCGTTCGAACTTTCGCGTTTCCTCTCCTCGTCGCGGCACAAACACAGTTCCGCACTCCTTACCGTTACTGTTACTTGTTAGATTCGAAATACCAACCAACAACTGATTAGAGCGAGATTAAAAGAAGAGTGAAGGAGCGGGAGGGAGGACGGCGAAGACAAAACGAGGCGGTGATAGAGATAGTTATGACGAAATATACAAGTGGATTACATTACTTGACCGGTGCAAAATGTTAGGGAGTCAATCGGCCGGCGTGTGAGAGAGGCTCTTTGTGCTCGTGTAAGAGTGTATAAAGCGAATGCTCATTTGTTACGTATGCGATTACGGGAAAAGTAGTTAGTGCCAGCTGCAGCATTGTCAAGGGGAGGGAATTTGTTGTCGCAAACTTTGTTATTAGAGCCGATCGTGGCGAACTTCGCGGTCGAAATTTAATGCAACGTCGAAGCTGGAAAGACCTTGGAGAGATCGATGTGGCAAGAAATTGCAAATTCTATCTCATTGGAACAACGAAATGGAAATTAGAATCCAGAAGCGGTGACGTCCGTCTAAAAGCAAAGTTGATACGTGCGCTGGCTCGCTGGTGTCTGTTTTTTTCACGAGTGAAATTAGAAATTTAACTTAAACAGACTGACAAAGATAGTACGATATTTTCTGGACAAACGACACGTAATGAACGGTTAATCGAAAGAACCGTAATGTATAATATTCCTTTTATACTTCTTTTATACTTCTTAAGACGGATTAAGAATTTGGATCGGTTGAACTAAAAGATAGCGCTTTATCGCGCAAAAAAGAAGCGAGTTTGTTCGTGAAAATAGTTAAAAATAAAATTGATCCGTAAATTCGCTACGTGTTTTGTGTATCTCCACGAACCGGTTTTGAAGACGCATCGATCGAAACGATAAAACTGATGGAACTTAACGCCAGCAAGAAGATGCAGGAGAAGACGGGCTCTGTTTTCGGATCGATAAAGAAGTGGAGAGCTATACAGAAAGCCCGGAAGTGACTGCGGAGCAGCACAGTTACGAGCATGCATTTTAGTCGCTTCATTTCAACCCTTGCGGCACCACCACGTGATCCCGCGCGATCGTAGAATTTCTAGGTGAACCGGATCAACCACGAAATTAATTTCCTCCCGGGCTTTCCTACGATGGCCTCGATTCCAATCGAGCTTGACGCGCTTTCCAAAATAGAGGTTCCGTCGAAAAGAGTAAACGAAATGCGAATACTGCGCAAACATATTTTATTACAATACGATCTCCTCAACGATAATTTAATAAAATTCGTATCTCGTAAATCGAAAAAAAAGATGCGGATTAAATAAGCTTTTCGACAAATGATTCATCGGTACAAATGTAACGATTTTTTTTTTATCCCGCGATAGAATTGTAGTCGAAACGAAACATCGACAAGTGATCAGCGTATTGACATGTCAGATATTGGATCCATCGGCTTGAAATTCCTACAGGAATCCCCTGCCAGACTTCCCGAATACTCCCGCTCACTGTGTTTACCCGCAAATTTAATTTAACGTCACTCCGTGTCACGCGACATCGTTGAAATTGTACGTCAGCGAGATTTACTACGTTCGAGGAACGAAGAGCCACGCCGGAGACGTTACGAGACGTATCCTTATGCGAAGCGCCGACATCAAAGCGGAAATTAGCATGTATGCGTGAATTTGTGAATGAATTTGCGAGATGAAGTATTCTTCACTCTAGAATTCTTCAAATTTCTACCAGGTTCTCGATGG